TTTTATGGTAAAAAATATCTGATATTAAATGTTCCTATAGGCAAATAATTTGTACTGCAGATGTTTTTTATTTTCCTGACATCTACATTATACAACTCTAATCACTAAATTCTTCCTCATCACTGAAGTATGTGCTCTTCTTTATCCTTGGGCGCCGTGAATCCTCTGATGTTGAGGGGCCTGCTGGACTGGGTTTCCATTTGTTCTGTTCTTCAATCTTGGCTTGCTGGAATGGGATTCAGAAAACAAAATCAAACCAAAGTTTTATTTAGGGTAGATTAATTCCTGCACAACAAAATCAACACGAACACCAGGGATTCCCACTCTCCTAGGCACGTAAACAAGATATCCTCCCCGTGACCCACACCTGGTCCCCAGCACTGTGTTGCTCAAAATCATCCCCAGCAATGTTTGCATGTGTGTAGAAATGGGGATGGAACCCAGGACCTCGTGTGTGCCCAGCCGGTGCTCTACTGCTCAGCTACAGGAATTATTCTCCACTTTTTTTTCTTAATTTTGAGACTGAGTCTGGCCTTGAACTTGAGATCCTCCTGGTCCATCTTCTTTAGTAGCTGGGATTATAGGCACGCATCCCCATGCCTGGCTGTCATAGGCAATTCGTCATTATGATGACTACTTTTACTATCACCGCTATTAGTTTTGCCATATTGGGGACTGAACCAAGGACACTCTACCACTGAGCTTCATCCCCAGCCCTCTTTATTTTGTATTTTGAGAGAAGGTCTTGCTAAATTGCCCAGGTGGGACTTGAACTTGCAGTCCTCCCACCTCAGTCCCCCTCACTGCTGGGGTTACAGTTGTGTACCACTATTTTTACTCTTTGATGTGCAGGGACCAAACCAGGGCCTCACAAAGCTAGGGAAGGTCTTAACGCTGAGCTACATCCCCATCCTAGGCACTTGCCAGAAAATGTTTTTGGCTGGACCAAACTCAATTCAGTCAAATAGTTTTGCTCAATTCTATAGTGAAAACAGGTAAAGGGTCGGGGGACGTGCTGAGTACAAAGTCCCTGGGTTCAGTCCCTCATACTGCACTGGCTGGGTGTGGTGGTACATATGTATAGCTCCAGCACTCGGGAGGCTGATGCAAGAGGATCACTGAGTTCAAGCCAGCCTGGGCTACATAGGGAGATGATGGTGGCCTTTTACACACCAAGGCCTCAGAGGGACACCTTGTCTTCTCAGACTTAGGAGATGAAGGGGAAGAATGGAAGTTGCCATGAGGACTAAAAAATTATAAAGCTTCAATCTAAGGCAACTACCATACAGGACCTTAAAAAAGGAAGAAATAAAAAGTCAGGACTTCCCTAGCACAGAAGAGGCCTCGGGCTTGAGCCCCAGCCTGCCAAACACAAGTAACTTGGTACCTGGGAGGCGATGGCTTGGCTGAGACTGTCGAGAGCGGGGTCTTCCCCTTCGTCTTCACTTTCTGCTACGTCCTCACTACATTTGAGGAGAAACAGCAGAAGGTAATCAGCCAGCGTTAAAGACAGAAGCCAATGGTGAGGTACTCAGTGAGAGCAGATTACTTACATTTCTTCCGGTTCAGCAATTTTCTTTTTCTTCTTCTTTTCTTTCTTCTTTGGAGGCTCACGTTCTCCGAGCATGTTTTTTGGACAGGCATAACTTAAGTGTCCACTTTCCTTTTGGTGAGCATTGAAAAGGAAAGGAAAGATACTGTATTTGTTACTGTTATTAACTTGCCTGGAATTCTGCAACTTATAAGCTTTTAGAATTTATAAAAGAATATTCTCAAACTGGGGATATACAAAATGGATTAATGATAAAATCAACTTTTAGAAGGAACAGTCTGTGATATTATGACTCCCAAGAATTAGAAAGTACCTAGATGTGGTGGTGTACCCTCCAATCCCACGATTTGGGAAGCTGAGGCCAGAGGATCGCCTAGAGTTTGAGGACAGTCTGGGCTACAAGTGAGTTCAAGGCCAATGTGACATAAATAGTGAGACCTTGTCTAGCAAAATAAAAGAAAAAAACAACACCCACCCACCCCCAAGAAAAACAACAAAAAATCCTACTTATAATAATTTGCAAGATATTAACACAGTTTTGGTTTTTTTATTTTGATGGTACTGGGATTCAATGCAGGGTCTCCACGCTGAGCTATATCCATAATCCTTTTTTATTTAAGACAGGATTTTTTAAAATTACTGAATTGCTCAGGCTTGGCTTCATCATGAGATCCTCCTGTCTCAGCCCTTCTGGTTCTGGGATTGGGTTAAGTAGAAAATATTAGTACATTGCTAATTTTTACCTCTTCATGTGTGTATTGCTCAGGATGAAACCCAGGGCCTTGCGCGAAGAAGCGCAATCTACCTTTGAGCTGTATTCTCTGCCAACTTGTCTCTTTTTTAATGTGGCTGAAAATTTAAAATTATACTTATAGCTTATATTATGCTCCTAAATGACAGAGATGGACTAGACTGTTACTTATAATGAGCTGGAACACTGAACTGTAAAACACAAAAACTCTGAATATAATCTGTATATTACCACACTAAAATACATTTAAGAATATTTTGTTATAGTGGTGTGTAGGTAATGGCACATGCCTGTAATTCCAGCACTGTGGGACACACAGGCAGGAGGCTTTCAAGTTTGAGCCTAGTGTGTAATCTCAGTGAGACTCTAACTAAAAAGAAAAAAAGGGCTAGGGATGCAGCAGCTCAGTGTGAAGGCTGTAAAGGCTCTGGGTTCATTCCCCAGTACCACACAAAAAAGAATAATAGAAGGAAAAATGATGCTTTTATATTTGACAAAGCAGCAAATAGACCATAGGCCATATACTTTGTATACATGGGAAATAGCTGACCAAAAGAGGTGTTATTTATCCTTAACCAAACTGCAGAAAGAATGTATTTAGAGACACATTTCTCAGCCAGTTGCTATGACACATTCCTGTAATCCCAGCAGCTTGGGAGGCTGAGGCAGGATGTTGCAAGAATGACGTAAAGGGGGCCGGGGATTTAGCTCAGTGGTTCCACCACCTGCTTTGCAAGTGCAAGGACCCAAGTTCGATCCCTGGTACCAAAAAAAAAGTTGTACAGCACCCAGGTCTGATTGTCAGTACAAACAATAATAATGATAAATCCCCAAACTGTGTTGTTAAACAATGGCATACCAAAAAGTGTTAATCTGTCCCATATTGAAAAAGATTTACTGGTGAAATAACAGGGAAAAACCAGGATAGATGTAAACAGATTTTTTTGAGGAGGATTACATATAAAAAAAGTACAAAGTAGAATATAACAAATCTGTGGATCCATAAGCAAAAGAAACAAATTAACAGATTCATCTGGGGCAGTGGTGCTCCAGCCTGCTGTTTGTATCACTGACAGGTCTATAAGGTTTGCCATCACTGATCAAGGATAGGGTCTTGCTATGTATCCAAAGGTAGGTTCTCCTGCTTTTGCCTCCTGAATGCTGGGATCCGATGCATGTGCTACCCTGCCCAAATATATGTGTATTTTCAATTTTCATTTATTTATTTAGGTGGTAGTAACTGAATCAAGGATTTGTGCATGCTAAGCACTCCGCCTTTCTAAAACTTTAAGGTCTTGAAATACAGTTTAGAAAACATCCTCTCAAGAGGATTTAGAACCAGTAGGAACTGACAGTGCTATCTATGCCATTTGTTTGCTCCCTCTTTCTAGTCATCTATGTGTTTTTCTGTCTGCAGATTATATACATATGTACATCACTGTTTTTTAGAGGCTAGTATTTTGTGTGTGTGTATGCGTGTGGTAACTGGGATCGAACTCAGGACCTTGCACTTGCAAGGCAGGCTTGGTGCCACTGAGCTAAGTCCCCGGCCCTATATCACTGTGAGACTGAAGGGGTCTCACAGCATCATCTCCCTGGCTTTGAGTTCTCAATCCTCCTCCTCTAGAGTACCGGGTTGCAGGTGTGAGCCACATGCCCGGCTATGTGTGTATCTTTGGTGGGAAATGGGAAGAGAGTGATAGTGAGGAAAGGACCCAAGCCATCTCCTCCCGGGTGACTGCATCTAGGACAGCATCTCTCACTAATTGTCTCTCCAGCACTCTAGCTCTGGACTCAGTTTCTTCAGTATGTTACACAGTCATTTTAGAAAGCGACAGCTGTAAGAGACAGACTGAAATTCCCTTAGAATCATTATAAGCATTTAAAAAACTCTTCTCTGGCTGTGTATGTCTTCCAATCACTGAAACGTTAAGTGGCTAACAGTGGATCATGAGGACACTCAGAGAAGAAAATGGAGGCATAGCTCAGTTACAAAACATTAGCAGCACTAGTAGGAAAAAATTCAAAACAGCCGACTGTGGTGTTGCATGCCTATAGTCCCAGCTACCTGGAAGGCTGAGGCAAGAGCCCATGAGTCTGAGACCTCCTGGGCAACATAGTGAGAATGTATGTCAACAACAAAAATTCAACGCATAATATCTCACAGAGGATGGGACAGATGATAATGGTACTGAACTGTGATGCTGGCCACTGCCCAAATGTTACAGAAACAGCCAGCGTAACAGAAATAGATGAGTCATTAAAACCTTCCCAGCACTGAAGTGAATAAGGAACACTTTTTAGAAAAGTTTTAAAGATTTAGAAACTAGAGAAAAATATCACTCTGCATTTACCTAAAAAAACCCAAGTTGTTTTTTGGCAGTCCTGGAGATTAAACTCTCAGCCTCAGCATGCTAGAGGACTTCTCTACCACTGAGCTACCTTGCCAGCCCCAGGTTATCTTTCATTTCATTCAGTTTTCTTTTCTCTGTCTGTTCTCTCTCTCTCTTTTCTGGAACTAGGGATTAAGTTCTACAAGTCTTTACTACTGAGCTACACCCCCATCTTTTACCTTCTGAGACAGGATCTTGTTAAATTGCATAGGCTGGTGTCAAACTTGCAGTTCTCCTGCCTCATCCTCCCAGGAGGCTGGGATTACAAGCATGCAACACTGCGTTTCATAAATACCTTTCAGTTAAGCTTTACTTAGATGAGTCTCTAAGTAAAATAACTTTCATCACCTGGTTACAGCCCGCCTGAAATTCTGGTGGGCACCAATAAAAGACTGATGTGGAAAATACCTTAAAAGAAACAACTGTACAGAAGATTTCACAAAGCTTCAGGTGTACTCACCCCACATTCATAACACTTGGATTTATCAAAGTAGTTTCGCCTTCGGATGAATTCAGCTGCTCTCCCATTGTCAATAGCAATGCTTGCCTTTATCACTCTACCAAACAACTAAACCAGAGAAAAATGTAAATGCAGAAGGTTGTATTTCACTGGAATCTAAAACCAGCAATTTGGGCCAGGGATTTAGCTCAGTGGTTTCACCACCTGCTGCGCAAGCTCAAGGACCTGAGTTCAATCCCCGGTACCAATAAATCAAACAATCAATCCAGCAATTTGATTCTATTTCCACAAACTTTCAATTGCATTTCTGGGGTGGGTTAATTTAGCAATTTTCCTACTTATGTCTGATAAAGTCTATCCTGTATTACTTTTCTTACATTCTGCCAGTGTTTTGAGAACCCAGTACAACTTTGACATAAGTAAGATATTCTCTGAATCTAATGATATTCATCATGTCTGACCAGCTCCTGTATTTCCACATTTTTTGGTCTGAATGAGCAAAAGGCTTTTGGGATTTAAAAAGAAACTGACGCAAATGAATGGCTTACCTGTTTGTTGTTTATGGCTCTGGTGCAGTTTTGTGCAGAGTCTTTATCCAAAAATAATATAAATGCAACCCCTTTACTCTTCCTCGTATCTTTGTCTTTCATTATAGTAACCCTTAAAAAGTATAAACAAAGAGCAAATTAAAAATAAGAAAGCGATAAATAAAACATATTAATACTTAGAAAACTATAGCTTTTTAAAAAAAGATTAATAAAAGATTGAATATTGAGAAAAACTGAAACAAAACTTGGGATATTCTATTCTACATAAAAAATGATTTACTTAAATTCTTTTTCTAAGGTTTTGGAATCTAATTGTATTTGGAGGGGAGTACTGGGGACTCAACCCAGGGAATTGCTAAACTACAACTCCAGCTGTTTCTGAGACAAGGTTTTGTTATATAGCTCAGGCTGGTCAGGAACTCAGTATAGGCCAGGTTGGCCTATAACTCGCTATCCTGTGCCTCAGTCTTCCTGAATGCTGGCATTACAGGTGTGGCAACACCGTGCCTGGCTCTCTATTCTTAGTATTCCTTTGAAGCAGTTGCCTCCAGTTCAGTGGTTCTTAGCCCAGCTCCTGGTTATACAAAAGGCAGGGCAACAAAAGCACAGAGCTTGCTCTTTCTTCTGTCTCTGGAATTTGCCTAGTGCTGGAGCTGTGGGCTAACCATATGCCATTTAGTGTGGTTTAGGAGCAATGCTCAACAGGGTTCTTTGGAGTAACCGCCAATGTGGGTACAAGATGAGCTTATTACTTGTTTACTATGTCACTATATTTACTAAAAAGATCAGTAACAAGCAACTGAGACTGAAGCAGTAATAAGGCTCCCAACCATAAAAAGCACAGGATAGCTGGGCGTGGTGGTGCAGGAGTATAACCCCAGCACTGTGATCTCAGGCTGAGGCAGTAGGATCCAGTGAGTTCAAGACCAGCCTGAACTATGTAGTGAGGGCCAGTCTCAAAAGAAAAAAGAAAAAAAAAGCCCAGGACCAGACAGATTCCATGTTAGGAACTAACACCAATTCTCCTCAAACTAGTCCAAGAAATACAAAGGAAAGGAACAACAGAGATTCAATGTAAGAGGCAAGTAACACACTGATATTAAAACAGAAGGACACAGCAAAAAAAGGATGCACAAATAGCCTTCATGAAGATAGATGCAAAAATTCTTTTCAATAGTACATTAAAGAGGGGCTGGGGATTTAGCTCTGTGGTTTCGCCGCCTGCTGCACAAGCGCAAGGACCCAAGTTCAATCCCCGGTACCAAAAAAACAAAACAAAACAAAACAAAAAACAAAAAAAAATAGTACATTAAAGAGATTATACACCATGATCATTTGTTTCACTGCAGGGATATAAGTGTATTCAACATGCAAATCAGTAAACATAATATACCATATGAAGGGCTGGGGATTTTGCTCAGTGGTTCTGCCGCCTGCCTTGCAAGTGCAAGGTCCTAAGTTCAATTCCCCATACCAAAAAAAGGAAAAAAAAAATTTATATATATATGTACCAAATGAATAGATTCAGCATCCTCTCATGATAGAGCTCTAAAGAAACTAGGTATTGAAGATATAGTAAAGGATACACACAACAAACCCACAGCCAACAATATTGTGAATGGGGCAAAATTAAAAGTACTTCGTCTAAAATTAAGAAAGAGGGCCGGGGATTTAGCTCAGTGATTTTGGGTGCCTGCCTTGCAAAAGCAAGGTCCCAAGTTTGATCCCTGGTACCAAATAAATAAATAAATAAATAAAATGAAATTAAGAACGAGACGAGGATGTCAAAGCTCACTACTCCTACTCAATATAGTATTTGAAATATAAGCAAGAGCATTTAGGGAAGAGAAATAAACAAAAGGGATACAAATAGGAAGGGAAGAATTCAAGTTACCCTTATTTGCAGTTGATATGATCTTTTACTTAGAAATTTAGACCCTACCAAAAGAATTTTGATAAACAAATTTAACTTACAGTAGGATGCAAAATCAGCATTACCTGTTCTATACACCAATAATGAGCTAGCTGAGAAAGAAATCAGGAAAATTATTCTATTCAAAATAGTTTTTTAAATCCCCAAAACCAAAGGGATAAACCTAACCAAGGAGGTAAAAAACTTCTACAGTGAAAATTTAAAACACTGAAGAAAGAAACTAAAGACACTAGAAGATGCAAAGAACTCCCATATTCATGGATTGGCTGAATTAACATAATTAAAATGGCCATTTTGCCAAAAGTTATCCACACATTGAATGTAATCACCATCAAAATTTCAATGACATTCTTCACCAAAGGAGAAAAATATGTCTTGAAATCCATGTGGAAGCACAAAGATCCAGAATAGCCAAAGCAATCCTAAGCAAAAACAGTAAGGCTTAAAGGCATCACAATTCCTAGTTTCAAATTATATTACAAAGCCATAGTAACAAAAACAGCATGGTACAGGCACAAAAATGGACACACAAACCAGTGGAGCAGAGGACAGAGAAACAAATGCATCCAATTACAACCATCTGATCATGGACGAAGGAGCCAAAAACACACTGGAGAAGACATAAGCTCTTTAACAAATGGTGCTGGGAAAACTGGATAGCCTGTGTAGGCGAGCTAAACTA